TTAATACTTTAAAGATGAACATTCAACATTTATAACTCCAGGGATCTGAGGCAAGGATCTAAGGCAAGGAGGGGCCACCCGGGTGATGTGTGTATTATAGATTGCTTGAGGGCCAGTGTTGTTATCGTTAAAGCTAAAACTATTAAAAATCAGTATCTGTGTTTAAAATAAAACTGACATATAAAATAAAATAATAAAATAAAACTGTAGCTAGCAACAAACTGAAATAATATGTTTAAGAACTAAAATGACTAAAACTGAAATAAAAATAAATTAAAGTTAAATAGAAAATAGGATATTAAAATAGGATGTGCCTATGTGTGTACAAGTGATTGTAATGCCCTGCCAGTGTTTTATACATGTTCAGATTTTTTTCCATTTGAATGGACATGACACCTCTGAAATCAGTCATCAGGACATTGTTAATCAATATTTTGAGTTTTATCTGTGGTTATGTCATGTGCGCATGTGAGATAATTAGACTTTATGATCCATGTATACCAATGATTTATCCCTCTACTATTCATTTTAAACACCAAATTATGGATTAACTTCATATTCAGCTGACAGGTTTCCCTTTTTCCATTTACACATGAAGAGAGAAGAGGAGATAAAGCCTTTCATTTCTACTGCACCATTTTTCCACTCTAATCATTTTTCTTTTTTTTCTCTCTTTTTTCTTTAGAGACATCAGAAAAGCCCATCTGTTGGAGGCTGATTACACATTTATTTGTTTTGAGGTGCACGTACACCATCTTGTCAAGTCAAGTGGGCCTGTCAGGAGCTGATGGGCCAAAATGCCATCTCTAATAATGGCCAACTCATCTCTAGACTAACAGTGTGTGTCTGAGAAAGAGGAGGGGGGAAATGGGGGGAGAGACAGAGAAGAAAAAAAAACAGAAGGAACAAGACAGTGTGAGAGATTCAACAAAGAATGAAGCAGATGATGGCTAGCAGTGGAGTGGAACTCAACAAGGCAAAAAACGAGGTATGGGAAATAAAGGGATGAGGTCAGAAAAGTGGGAGAGACTAAAAAAAAAGCTGCAAAGCATTGAGGTGTGCCGGCTGTGGATATGAGGTTTGTTTCTAAAGGGGGCACGCTTTCTCTGTTCGAGATTTCCAAAGCACTCTATTCTCTCTACCCTTCATCATAATGGGGTTCCAATGAGGCATCAAATGAGTTCTACCTTCACACAATCACCATTCAATACAACGGCCTTCACAACAGCACCAGTCCTACATCAAACACACCTCTCACAGAGAGGGATAAACACTGGTTTGCTCTGTGCATGTATGTTACAGTATCTATACAATTGTAGTGTTACAAGAAGAATGTGTTTAAAATTTGTATTTGAATACTTTTTGATGTCGCTTGACAGAAAATGTGATCAGATATACAAATTTGATGTAATTTGTAACAGATTACTTTGAGAGATTGTGTTTTGTTTAAAATTCATAAATAATGAACTATGTTTTTTTTTTATAAGATTTAATAAGAACTTTCATAAGGAAGCTTACATGGATGACTAAATATATCCTATCACAGTTTTTGGCTAGATGCAAAGAATTCGCATGACACATCCTGCTGGGTTCAGCGAGCTTATTGTGAACAATGTTTTCCTTGACCAGTATATAACACATAGATAAAAAAAAATAATAATAATAATAATTTTGTGTATGGTGCAAATTGCCTTAAAGGGATAGTTCACCAAAAAAATAATGTGAATTTGCTGAAAGGGTATCTTACATGGTGCACACTATGCTCAATTAATATTGAGAACAAAATAAGGCAGCAACAGAACATAAAAGTAATTGCTGCTTTAGATCATGCGTATTCAGTGAAGGACCTAATTACAAATGACTTATATTTACTTATTATTATTATTTTAATTAAATACATTACTGTACTTCATCCCGTCTATTACACAGCTGCTAAATACATAATTATGTGGTCATGAAATGTTTATTTGAGTTGAAATTACTGAGACACAAGAAAGATTCTCAGTCCTGGAGGGCCAGTGTCTTGCAGAGTTTAGATCCAACTTGCCTCAACACACCTGCTACAAGGTTTCTAGTATGTCTGGTAAGAGCTTGATTAGTTGGTTCAGGTGTGTCTGATTGGGGTTGGAGCAAAACTCTGCAGGACACCGGCCCTCCAGGACCGAGTTTGGGCACCCCTGCCCTAAAGGAACATGATGAGATTGGAGGAAAATTTATATTTCAGAGTTTGAGTTCCACCAAGAAACTTTGCGAACACAAAACTGGTGATGGAAATAATGTGAGGTGGGAGGAAAAACTGCATTTCAGTGCTTTTGTGATATAATTTTTCTTCCCATCCCATATTTTTTGGGGTATTTTTACCATGTGCATTAAGAGTTCCATACGTTTTCATGACACAGGAGCAAATCCGCCAGGTGAAAGTTAAGGCAAGTTCACACCAAGGACAATTGTCCAAGCATAAATATAATGATGAATATAAAGTTTTAAAAATTATTTAAAATTTATAAGAATAGGGATGTTCACACCACAACTATAACAATAACAAACAAACAAAACAATTATTAGAACCAATTTCAGAATGATTTTTCTTCCACCTCATGAATGATAAAAACATGTACAGCCAACCTGAATGCACCCAACTTTAAAGAGTTTTGCGACAGATGACAAAACTGCAGCATGCGTATATAATAAAGACAATGTTATCATTTATTGGTATCTTTATAGTTATCGTTCTTGGTGTGAATGGGCCTTTACTCTGGTGAGCAGTCAGCGTCACATTTCTGAAGTGCGAAACATAAATTGCAACTCAATAAATGCAATGACGCAATGGAAGATTTGAAAAGACAAAGTTTTTAGCAGATTTTAGCATAAACACACATTGCTAGACAGGTAGTGAACACAGACCATCCAAGATGTAGGTAATAATGCTGTGAATAATGTTCAGTTTCTTGCACAGGCCGATTGTTTCGCTTCATAAGACCTCGATATATCATCAGGAGCCACGGGTATTCATTTTGTGTTGCCTGATTTGCTTTTTTTTGACTCTCAAAGTGATGGCAGCTGTTGACTTGCATTTTATGAATCAACAAGAACCACGGTTTCAGCTAAAAATATTCTTTACTGTTCTACTGAAGAAAAGAAAAGTCACCTTCATCTTGGATGCCCTACAGGCCGATTGTTTCGCTTCATAAGACCTTGATATATCATCAGGAGCCACGGGTATTCATTTTGTGTTGCCTGATTAGCTTTTTTTTGACTCTCAAAGTGATGGCAGCTGTTGACTTGCATTTTATGAATCAACAAGAACCACGGTTTCAGCTAAAAATATTCTTTACTGTTCTACTGAAGAAAAGAAAAGTCACCTTCATCTTGGATGCCCTGAGGATGAGTAAATTAACATCATTTTATTTTATTTTTTGGGGGGGTGAACTATAAGAGTAAATGGTCTGCAACATAAAAAATGTTATTAAGCCTAGCAGCAAGACTTGGCCTAGTAACAAGATGAATATGTAACAATATTGCAGAATTAGTTTACACGTTATTAATCTGCAATACAACTCAATGACTTTTCTATTTTGTTTTCTCTCATACATTTTGTGTGTTTGTGTGTGTGTGTGTGTGTGTCTTACCGGTTTGTTTACTTAAGTGCTATTGTTTTCGGGACACTCGAGCTATCTCAAAGGTTTATGCTCACCATCAAATAAATAATACTAAGTCCTTCGAGGCCATTTTAACAGAGCCAGTAACTGTCTGATACGGACAAGGGCGGCAAAAAATCTTTAAACAATAATCATTTCTACTTATTACGCTCTAGAAAACAGTAACAATAGTGGTTATTTCACCATGCTCTGAGGACATCTGCCTGTGTTATACAAGTACAGATACTTTCGCCCCACACACGAGTACCCAGCTGTGACTATAATAGTGCACAGTGATGTTTACTTAGTCCATGGCTCTCAGAACACTGTATTCAGGAGAATAAAGCCCCTCGATGTTTATGTAATCTTACCACAAGCATAAAGATATTACAAGCAAACAGAAAATGAAAAGCTTTGTTTGACGCTCCAGCTCTTCCAGTGTAGGTGGTGGCTTTAATTATATTAAGGCTATGCCCAGAATGTTATTTGCATATGTGAAATTCTTTCATTAATTAATGTTAGCACACATCTTAGTGAGTGTGGTGGAATGAAAGAGCCTATCTGATAGCAGGCTGATCAAAAGAATCCTTCGGAACTTAATTAACAAGATTAATTACTAGCTTGTTTTGCCTTAATTAAACTAGAGTAAACATAATAATGCTAGATAATTTATTAATCAAATATGCTTCAAATCATCATAAATTCCCCGTCTCTATAGAATGTTTAAAACACATTAATCAAAATACAGAAAACTTAATAATGGATTCATACCTGACCAAGAGGGTGAAGAAAATTAAACTCATATATCATTTGCAGTCCTCGCTACCAAAGAATTATATGAACAAATAAAAATGCTGCTAGAGGGACCTCTAGGGGTCATGGGTACAATTTTATTTACTGTATAGTGATATCAAGACTCACTTAGCTTTGCCCTCTGCTGGTGGCTTAGATGCACAAAACTCATTGCACACAGACACAATAAGCACATAATCCTGTGAGCTTTATTAACAGTTATTATCCATGTCCTGTACAGAATCAAACAAATCACACATCAACAATTAGTATTTATTTATTTTCCTTTTGTGCAAGAGTATTACAGAGAGTAAAAATGTGTCATTGTCTTCTTAACAGTCACAGTCAGTGGATTCAACAAAGCAAATAAAACACTCACACATACACACACACACACACCTCTAAAACAAACTTCCTTCACATCAAAGCAAATATTTAAAACAGAGCCCACATGGAGAGTACATTGTTTTGAGAAGAAAACTTTTGTTCATATTTCATACTACATATACACACACACCTCTAAAACAAACTTCCTTCACATCAAAGCAAATATTTAAAACAGAACCCACATGGAGAGTACATTGTTTTGAGAAGAAAACTTTTGTTCATATTTCATACTACATAAAGATCACTATGAAAACAGAGACAGGAAAAACAAGTTTAAAAGTTACATAAAAAAGGCTAACGTTTTGGTGTGGAATACTGTAAATAATCCGAAGCCGAGTTAGGAGACCAGTTATTCAAATACAGCTCTAAAAAGCATTTTTGTATCTATGCAACTAACATGCAAAGTATGCATAAACAAAAGCAATACTGACAGACTGATGAATTTCTGTCCTTCCTGCTCAGTGCTAAAAAACACGAGTCAAGACAGAGAATGAACCTTTCCGAGCAAACAAATTCTGAGACTTTTATGCGTTTATGCATCAAGTCCAGTTCAGTTTACTCATACGATGAAACTGTATCCCTCACATAAAATAGGTAGAATGCTCTGACTTGCAAGCAAAATTTTTACTGACACTTTTTCCATTGGTAAAGTCAATATAAATCCACTATTCCCAGTGAAGTGACTGTCATGGTGGTCTAATGAGAAAACTGAATTGACATTCAAAAAACACTCCAAAGTTGTACAGTGCACGTTTTTCAAATGCCATCCTAGCTGTTCATTAAACACAACTTAAAGGTAAGGAATAAGAGGGAAAAACTCACATATTCAAACACACATGTGAAACCTGCATTTGGACTTGGCCGGCATGATTCAGATGCATTGATCGTTATTGTCTTCTTTGCTCGTGGATGCGTTCAGCAGAGTGACTTAGGCCGCACTTTCGGAAAAAGCTGCATGAGAGAGAACAACAAGAATGAGGTTGATTGAAGACCTGCCAAACCTCACTGTCCACTGCATGCTGGTAACAGTAATATTAGGACATAAATGACCTTGTACTAGCTAAGTAAAAATGAAGGGAATGTATGAAATACAAAGGGTTGCGACATTTGACCAGACAAACAGCATTTTATACATTGCATTGAATTCAAAATACAAAATATGTTTGAGTATTTGAAATATGAGTATTTAGGGCACAAATTTGAACACGAGGGAAATCTGCATAGGAAATGTTTTCACTCTCATGTGAAACTCACAATGGTGCGGATTCCCAATTAAATGACTCTATGTCACCTGCAAAATCTTGCAGAGCAAGTGTGTACACACCTCTAGATCAGTGATTCTCAACCAAAGCCCCCCTATTTTCCAACAAAATTATTCAAAGGCTAAATTGGCTAAAACATTTCTGGTATTTCTGCTGTAATCATGATAATGATGCTGGTTTTCAAACCTTTTTATTACTAGGATCTAGGAATGTTAATATATTAAATAAAATTATTTAACCAGAATTCATTTTGTGGTCCAGAAGGTCCAAGATTCTGATTCTGTGAGCACTTTAATTAAAACCCAGCTGTGGGGAAAGAAAAGAAGAAGAAAAACAGCTAGGGAAAAAAACAAATATGATTTCAGTCAATCTTGATTTTGTTTGTTTTTAGAATTTACATTATTATATACATTTAATAATTTTATGTCATCCTATGCCCCCTTTTGAAGTTTGCCAAGGCACTCTGTTGGAATATTGACCTCTAGCTGACCATTATTTTTCTTGTAAATGAGCTCTTCTTACGCCAAAGTAGTTGTTTGGTACGAAGCCCTCTCTGCCACACAGTGAAGCCCACCACCAGTCCACTCCTTCAGGCTTCTGCAGGATGGTCACCATGTCTCCTTCTTTGAAGCTCAGTTCGTCTGGACCCTGGGCAGGATATCCCCATAGAGCATACACCACCCCACTGTTCTCTACACCCATAGCTTCCTCCACACCTAAACACAAACACATTCTTAATGGTGACTAAAGGAAATTGAACTTCTACATACACCACTGTGCTCAAATTACTCATTGTTTTTGAGTTAATAAGGGTGTATTACATGTCATCTCCGCCCAATAGTTTATGAATTAGCTGACTAGTACTGACCGTTGTTTCCAACCCATTTGAGGATGATACTATTAATTCAGGAATGTACAGCTCATTGTGACATGCTAAATATAATGCTGGGAGTTAACACACATGTAGGTGTTCGCCTGTAAAAACTTGTGTTGCGACCATGTGGTTTACCTGTGTACACAAGTAATGTCTGTTTTCATTTTTCTCATGACATCACCCTCACCTCTCAGGAAGCTCTCACACTCCTCGAAGCCAGGGGCGAAGGGGTCACACTTCTGTGCTGCTGTGGCCCCATCACTGTCTGTTACAGCCATCACCGCTGCTCCATTCCGCACCAGAAACTCACACATTTGCCGGTCATTACAGGATGCAGCACAATGCAAGGGTGTCCTGGCAGTGAGACGAAAGGACAAAAGTGAATATGTACTGTACATACACATGGAAATACATAGGAATGTATATATACACTTGTTAAACTGATCATCTCACCAGCCGTGGCTGTCTGGAGTACTAACGTTAGCCCCTATCCGCACGAGGAACTCCACCACAGGGAAGTGTCCACCACAGATGGCATTGTGAAGGGCTGTGATGCCTTCATCATTAGCCTGGCTTGGGTCACTCACCTATACAGGGCCACACAATTGCACTCTTAAAATGACGAACTGAAGAATTACGTAACATTATGAAACATTTACAAGTAGGATGCATTTTGCAATTAAACTATGTGAAAGTCTTATTAAAGTTTTGAAAATGTCTGTTTTATTTTGTATTTTGATTTTCAGCATAAATTTGTATTTTGAAAGTAATTTTATATATGCAAAATTTTTTACATATTTTCATATTTATTAAAATTTTGATATTTGTGGAGTATTAGTAGTAGTAGTAGTATTTTAAGTTCAAGAAATGCCTCAGAAAATGCATCAAAAATCAGTTTTAGTTCCTATTTTAGTGCACACATATAGTTATTCCTTTCGCAACCTCAAATTTGAATTTTTACTGCTAGTTTTTATTTGTCCTTTATGTAAATAATTCTTAAAATATTTACCTTCAAATGTAAAAATTAAATAGATTAAGACTAGATCTGTCATAATAGCAGATTTTTATTACACAATTATCATGGCCAAGAGAATTCAATGCTATCTCACGACCAATTCGTACGTATTTTACGTGGTGGCTAATTCGTACGACCTCACTCGTACAATTTTGTACGATTTCTGTGAGGGGTAGGTTTAAGGGCGGGGTTAGGGGTCTTCATTCGTACAAATTCCTACGAATTAGCCACCTAGTAAAATATGTACGAATTGCCGTGAGATCGGGTTTGAGAATTCACAATAATGATATTATTGTGATATCTACCAACATTTTTGGGGAAAAATTACTATCATTCAAATCAATTTTCTCTTTTCTGTTTTATGACGGGTGGCAACCAACATTATAGTGCAATACTCCCGACATACCACATTAGAGTGTCAACCAGTTACTGGCGCTTGACTATTTATAATATTATTGTATGTGTAATATTATCACAGTATTTAATTTTTTTTTAATAATGGTTATCGTCAATAATGGTATATACTGACACAGTTGCCCCGGACTGAAAGTAACCCTACACAGTGCTGATGCAAGTTGCCACCACCTCTAAGCTATCATAGCGCAAGGTACCAAAGCAGTGGGACATACCTCCTGTGCAGCCCTCTGCACAGTTTCTAACTCTCCTACTAAGGACCCATCCAACATCAGCACCAGTGGGTTCAGGTGAGCCCTACGACTGGAGGATTTATTGGCTTTGCTGCCCTTCCGTAAGATAGAGTGAATGCCCTGAAAGAGAAGAAAAGATTGAAAAGCAGATTAAAATCAAATATCCTCTTAACTGTCACTGGTATCTACTGTATCTGAGCAATGTGTAATCTGTCTGCCGCTCACCTTCTGTTCAGAAGAGACCTGTATCTCTGTGACTGGTACTGGATCCATAGCTACAGCAGATCTGGAACTCTCTTCCCCATCTGAAGAGCTGCTACTTTCAGCAGCTGGTTCTTCCTTGATACGGATGGTCTTCCTGTGAAACAGCTTATTGATCATTTGCTTGTAGTGGTTGGGCTGGGAAACAGGCAGGTTGTACAGGGTCTGAGGAATTTCGACTGAGCCGCGTTTCTTCAGAGCCCTGGGGAACTCGGCCCGGATACGCATCACCTCATCCAGGTAAGTGTCCAACTCTGCCTGTGGGGCTACCACGGGCTGCAGACGTGTGGGGCTGAGAGGGCGAGGAGGCATCTCTGTATCCTCCACGTTAACCTCTTCTTCTGGTTTCATGCGTTGGTCATTCGAATACACAGGGCCTTCTGTTTTGACCGGTCTCTCAAGCTCAGCATCAACATCTCCAGGGTGGAGTACTGCTCCAAAAAAACAAACCAAAAAATATTTGCAATTTGGTTTTAAAAACAAGTGATTAATTTACAGATATTATGTTTTTGGGGAGTTGCACAACATGACATTTTAAAACTAAACTTGCCTTTATCATATAATGGTCAAATTATCTGATATTGTAATAGGCTTTACCGACCTTGACACAGTCATGAGGGTCTGCAGGGATTCACTCTATGATATAATTTCCTGTTTTATTTACATTTTTTCTGCATGTTGGTTGGAACCACATGATCTTGATTTGGCAGACAGTTTAAATATTAATAAATATGAAAAATATACAACATTAAATACATATTAAATATATATTTCATGAATATTAAATAAATATGTAAATGTTAATAATCAGTTTAAAAAGAAATAATAATAATACAAGGCTATGCCAAACTACATAATGATGTTTTATTTAAATAATTAATTTGAAGATTCCTTTAATGAGCTTTTAAATTAATTTTATGTCCCCTCAAAAAAAACCTAAATGAATTTTATTTCAAAAATTAAAAGCATTCTCATGACAGGTTTATTCAAGTCACTGTATGTATAAACATTTTTTTTAAATGTATTTTTTAATACTTTAATAGATGCAGACCAAAAAATGTGTGTCAAGTCATTGACTCGTATACGAGTGCCCGTCGGCCCACTCATGGCTTCTGGTTGAAGGTACCTTCTCTATAGTAGGGAGGTTGTCTTAGAGGTTGCTGAGGTTGAGGTGTCTGATTTTGCCGCAGGTACTCTCGGGGCAGGGGAAGATGTTGGTGAAAGATCCCTTGCTGGGACTCTCCCATTGGGACAGGGGCGTATCTGCTGGCTGCCGCAGCATAGTATGGGTTTTGGAGCCTCATGATGACGGAAAGCGGGATCGGCCTGTGCTGATGGACTCCAGAGCTTGCAGGTGGAATGGGAATACGGGAAATGATTGACTGAGGGCCATAAGTTGAGCTGGTGCTCGAGGCGAGTTCAGGGGGCACCGAGATACGAGTGTTCCTCGGGAGCGAGCTGTGAGATGAGGGGAGTGAACGGGGCACAGTATCCTGATGAAAGAGACAGAGAAAGAAGATATGAGAATTAGAAAACATGATGCATACTTTTTTCTAGGGATGCACGATATTGGAATATTGCGATATCCGATATGCCGATATTTTTCAACTAATTTTGGCCGATAGCCGATGCTGATATATTTACTTTTGTTTGGAAACAACACCAAGTCTCTCCTGTGTGGAAATTATAAGCAAATTATTTTTACTTTTGGTTAGTTTTTAACAAGAACTTATTTGTTAGAATTAAATATACAATATTGAAGTTCTTTTATAATGACAGTACATTGAAACTTTGAAAATAACTATAAGTAAACTATATATCAATCGCTGCATTTTTTATTTTTATTTTTTTCAAAAAGATGCAGTAGTCACCTTAAGATTTATTATAAAAAAAAAACTCAAAATTCAAACAAAATATTATGCAAACAAAAACTTTTATTTTGTATGCGATTAATCTTTTGACAGCACTAATTTTAAGATTTAACATTTGTAGATGTCTAAAGCAAAAGAGATGTAAAAATTCAGAAAGTCTTTTAGAGCTCATAATTTGTTAAAACATAACATATTACACATTAATGAATAAATCAGTATATATAAAATTATTTCATTTAAGTGTCATGTTTGTGATTTGTTTTCATGTAAGCTATAGATTCTGACCTTTAAATCAAAACATACTCATGATTTTATGGCATCAATTACTGCTTTATTTAATCAGAAACACAGTCTAAATATTATTTTGTGTATTTTGCTCGGACATAAGCACCCGGGGGAGACTGCTGCCGCTTGCCACTGCATTACTGTTTACTCTATCATACACCGAACGCATCATTCTGTATGTGCTTTCTCAGTTTAAAGTTTAAATTCCAAAAGAGTGAATCTAATCACCATTCAGGCAAAACTTTGCTTCAAGAATGATCCACACTGCTGACGTGATCTAATCGCTAGCACACCCTGAGCACATGTGAGTTAATGTATTCCTCTTATCGGCAAGACATATCGGCATAATTTTTCATATCGGGCCG